CTGCCAGTGTCACGGAAGTATCTGGGGTCCTCAGTTTCAAAAAAAAAACTTCAAAAATTTCTGACCATTCAAACTTTTATCTTCTGGATTCAACTTTTCTACAAAATTTATCATAAAGATAATTTTGGTCCTAAACTTGCCGTTTTACTTTTATATTATATTTTTATTATAGAAACAGCAGATTATATATTGCATGCAACTGTATCTATTGGTATTCAGCTATTTGTTATATAGTTATAGCCTCTAAATTCTGCTTCATCAGATAATAAAGGTTTTTACTGACTGCTCTTATATTGAGTTTATATTGGTGATTGCCTATAATAGACTGGCCCTAGTTACTGAATCATTACTGTTGTCTATTATTCATGCAAATTACCAGAGATAAATATTGGCTGATGTGCAAGCCATATTGTTGTACACCACTGAACGTAAGTGTCCCTAGGGTAGTGGAACAGCTGTTGGAATGTCTAATGGACAATGCAACCAAAGTTGTTGTAACTCTAGGAGTAGGTCATTCTAGCCAATCGATCAATAGCTAGGAGCCATGGAATGTGACAGTTCATAGTACCCATGCTCCGATCTTCATGGACAGTACCATTGGAGAGTGCTATGATTATGCAAGTCATGAAGGTGCCTCCACATGTATTGCCTAGTATTCAAGTTAGAGCTGTTAGTAGGGCTTCAAGTTGAGCAACATGAGCAATAGTGGTCAAAGAGATAGATTCCCTCATGGACTATATGAGGTGTAATGTACAAAATAGATGATGTAAGCAGAATCTGACTAAGCATGTGGTAACAGACAGACTGATATTGTCAACAACAGTCCATTTTCTCATTTGAATTTTTTATTATTTTTCTGCCTATATTTATATTGATTACCATATTGGAAAATATGCACAAACCCTGTATATTGTACCCCAATATTTTCAACAATACTTTATTATTTTTATTTTAATTTTCTGATTTTCTAATTTCTCTTCTTATTTGTTTGGCTGTATTTGTATTAATTACTATATTGACCATATATCTATTTTCCCCTTCTTTTTGTCTGATTTTCTATATATATTTCCATAATGGGAAATGTGCACAGGCCTTCAACAATACTTTATTATTTTAATTTCAATTTTTCAATTTTCTAGCATTATTGAATTTCTCTTCTTATTTTTCTGGCTGTATTTGTATTAATTACCATATTGACCATATATCTATTTTCCCCCTCTTTTTGTCTGATTTTCTATATATATTTCCATAATGGGAAATGTGCACAGGCCATTAGTAATGGTCTACTATTTTTTCTTCTTTTTTTCTGACAGCAGTGGTGGTGTGGGAAAGACAGATCACATAATATAGAATATAAATAAGTACATCATGAGTCAGATGTTTGTCTATTATTTGTGCTATTGCTTCCATGCCTATCCATTGCTCTTATTTTTTGCTACTCTGTCCCCATGCCAAAGACAATACCCAAACAAGAGCCCTTACTCCTCTCCTTTGTGGAATCCTCTGCACCATTTACAATGGTTTTATATAATATCAAGAACCAATATACTGAATTTCCTACAGGGTGGTGGTGTATTGCATGTTGGTAGTGAGTGCATATTGGGTCATTGTTATGTCCTTGTAATAGTAGTAGGGTGCCTACAAATCTTATGCTTTCCCTATACCATACCTACAAATTACAATGTCCATATCTACATGCAATATGTCTAGACTATCTACAAATGACAGTAACTAGATGATCACTATGAGCATATAAAGTGCACTATTCAATGATCCTCACCCTCCAGCAGATGTGTAACACACCATCTATGTGTTATATGTGGGGAGCTGTTGATGAATGTTGTATAGTGAGCCAAAATGATAATGGTGTTAAGACCAAGCTGTGATTGGCTACAATACAAGTCAGATCTTGATTCAAGAGACATTCTGCTAGTATCTAGTGGAGATCATTCATGCTTCAGAATTCCACTGCAGAATCCCCACTCCTTCTCTGGAAATTCTACACCAAAAGGTTGGATAAATGAAAGATTACTCCTTCATCTGCTGGTGCATATATGTGGTAGTGTAGACAGTTGTATAACTAATACAGCCTTACAGCCTCCCCTACTCTATAACATCAACCAGGACCTTCCAACATGTAGTCATCATGATATAGGTGACCCCAGGGGATCTCACCTTGCAACTTGTCACTTACTACTACAGTTGGTGAGGTAAATGAACTGGCAATGTAATCTTGCCTCTGGCTTGGTTTGAACCACCAACCTGCTGACAAGCTGTAATCTTTTATTTAGTGTAAACTGAATGCCTATTCAGTGACTTTGGTGTCACAAGACCCAGTCTATCAGGGCAGGTCTTATCAGATCTGCACTGTTATCTCTTCCTGCATCTGTATCCAACCTCTCATGGATTTCCAGGGTAGCTTTGAATATCTGGAGCAATCTTAAATCTTGCTAAAATACACCCACATCTAGTCTCTAACCCTCATTCTTCCTCTCTTTGGACTGTAGCTGTGACCAAGATCACAGCTGGGTCTTCTTTCCATTGTCATTCCAGCTTGCCATACCACTTTCATTGACAGCTTCCACATTTAGCACACATATAATCCATTAGACCACCCAAATTTGAAATACTACTAGAATAAAATCAGAAAGAAATTGGATGGGATGTTTACATGGTCTGTGCACAGTTCCATATATAGTAATTACTGAAATTACAGCCAAAAAGTCAGAAAAAAATAAGAAAAGAAATTCACATGCTGGAAATGGTTATTAATAATGTTAATGTATTGTTTACTTGGTCTGTGCACATTTCCAAATATGGTAGTTAGTGAAAATATGGCCAGAAAATTGATGTCTGACTAGCTGATATGGTTTCATCTGATAGGCACATGATAAATGCATCATATAGTTGTTCATGATACAGTCATATGATATGACATGTGATCAATCATGTCATATAGTAGTTATGTGATGTGATTATGTGACAATGTCATGTGGTCTGATTATGTGATATAGATCATGTGATATGTCATGTGGTCTGATCATGTGACATATCATGTGATAGCCATCAAAGATTTTGGCAGTTATCTAGTATTTACACCAGAATAGTGTGGCTACTACAATTGCAAAATAGAGTAAGTATTCCATTTCCACATGAAAAATTGAAGAGAAAGAGGGAAAATAATAGAGGAAATTCAATAAAGCTAGAAAATCAGAAAAATAAATTAAAATTAAAATTAAAGTAATAAAGTAATGTTAAATATTGGGGTACAATATGCAGGGTCTGTGCACATTTTCCAATATGGTAATCAACATAAATATAGGCAGAAAAATAAATAAAAATTCAAATAATATGTGATAATTTTGATGTATTGTTTACTTCGTCTGTGCATATTTCCAAGTATGGTAATTAACGAAAATATAGCCAGAAAATTAGAAGAAAAATAATGTACTATTATTGACAATATTGACATACTATGAACATAGTTTGTGCACATTTTTTAATATAGTAATTGATACAAATATAGCCAGAAAAATAAGAAAATGGACCCATTGTTGACAATATTGAGTATATACATTGCCTGTGCAAATTTGCTAATATAGTAATTAATACAAATATAATTAGAAAAATGAAAAAGATCATGTGATGTAAATAGATCTTGGTGCACTGTTTACTTGGTCTGTACATATTTCCAAATATATTACACCTCATATAGTCCATGAGAGAATCTATCTCTTTGACCACTATTGCTCATGTTGCTCAACTTGAAGCCCTACTAACAGCTCTAACTTGAATACTAGGCAATACATGTGGAGGCACCTTCATGACTTGCATAATCATAGCACTCTCCAATGGTACTGTCCATGAAGATCGGAGCATGGGTACTATGAACTGTCACATTCCATGGCTCCTAGCTATTGATCGATTGGCTAGAATGACCTACTCCTAGAGTTACAACAACTTTGGTTGCATTGTCCATTAGACATTCCAACAGCTGTTCCACTACCCTAGGGACACTTACGTTCAGTGGTGTACAACAATATGGCTTGCACATCAGCCAATATTTATCTCTGGTAATTTGCATGAATAATAGACAACAGTAATGATTCAGTAACTAGGGCCAGTCTATTATAGGCAATCACCAATATAAACTCAATATAAGAGCAGTCAGTAAAAACCTTTATTATCTGATGAAGCAGAATTTAGAGGCTATAACTATATAACAAATAGCTGAATACCAATAGATACAGTTGCATGCAATATATAATCTGCTGTTTCTATAATAAAAATATAATATAAAAGTAAAACGGCAAGTTTAGGACCAAAATTATCTTTATGATAAATTTTGTAGAAAAGTTGAATCCAGAAGATAAAAGTTTGAATGGTCAGAAATTTTTGAAGTTTTTTTTTTGAAACTAGGACCCCAGATACTCCGTGACACTGGCAGGAAATTTTTTGCCTGTGTGACATGGCTAAAACATTTCCAAGCAGTGTGACATGGTCAAAAGATTTTTCAGCAGTGTGACATGGCTCAAACATTTCTTAGCAGTGTGACATAACCAAAAGATTTTTCAGCAGTGTGACATAGCTAAAACATTTCCGACCAGTCTGAAACACTTCAAATATTTCCGACCACTCTAACATGCTTCAAACATTTCCGACCAGTCGGAAACACTTCAAATATTTCCTACCACTCTAACATGCTTCAAACATTTCTGACCACTTTCAGATGGCTAGGATATTTTTCAATGCAATATATCAACCCAAATATTTCTGGTCACAATATTGAAGGTCAAACATTTTTGCCCAATGCAATAATATATTTTCCTCCAGAGGCAAAAAATAAACGGCCAAGGAACCTATTAGCCTGGATATATACCTATATGTTTCAAGGCTAATAGCTTGTTCAAGGTGGGTGACTGAAGTGAACTTCTGGAGATATGGGCTTTAGATAAGATGAAATCTGATCAACTGGGTCCCTTCACCTCATACGAGCATATGTACTCCAGCATCGACACAATTCAGCTTGGTGATGCACCATGGAAATGTTTTACTGTGAGCTATACCGGGGATGTACAGCCTAGTGATCCCTCTTGGAAGTCGGCGGAGTACGAGGTCTGGTTTCGGGATCCTGAGGTCATCATGACCCAGATGCTTGACAACCCGGAGTTCAATGGCCACTTCGATTATGCACCTTATGTTGGTCTTGACAGATCTGGGAAGCGGTGTTGGAGTGACTTCATGTCAGGAAATTATGCTTGGCGTCATTGCGTGAGTCTAGATTATTTACTTCCGAAACTTTTATTTCAAGTTTGTCTCATTTCTAGGATAAAATCTATGAAGAAGATCCCACTACAGAAGGAGCGTTGTACTGTCCCATCATTGCGGGCAGTGACAAGACAACTGTTTCTGTTGCAACTGGCCATGTCGAGTACCACCCATTTTACATCTCTGGTGGCAACCTCTTCAACACAGTTCGCCGCGCACACCGTAACGCTGTCGCGCCTGCTGGTTTCTTAGTGATCCCCAAAAGTTCGTAAAATATGACTGCCAATATTTCGTAACTAATGACATTGCCAGGTGACCGAAAGTATGATAACGACCCCGCCTTTCGCAAGTTCAAGCAGTAGTTGTACCATGACTCAATCACGGCTATCCTGAAGACATTCCGTCCAGGGATGATCAAACCTGTGGTCCGCCGCTGCCCTGATGGCCATTTTCGGCGTGTGATCTATGACCTTGCCACCTACATCACCGATTACCCCGAGCAGGTTTACCTTGCCAGAATTGTTCAAAATTGGTGTCCAAAGTGCGTTCATTTTTTAGAAACTTTAAGCTTTGATTAAATCCCTATCCAGATGCACGGCTCTTCCAACAAACCTAGATGGGTTGGCGGATAGCCGCTCACGACGATTCACAGAAGGGCTCGTCAATGAGCTTGATTCGAAAAGATTATGGGATGAGTATGGTATTGATGATGACATTACCGTGAGTTTTTCTCGTCTTCAACAAACATCCATTCTTATCACTCTACAGCCATTTACCTTCCACTTTCCACACGCCGACATCCACGAAATGCTGTCAGCGGATCTACTCCATCAATTGATCAAGGGTACATTCAAAGACCATTTAGTCCAAGGGGTCGGCGATTACCTTTACCTCGAACACAGCGAAGCTCGGGCTAATGAGATTTTGGATGACATTGACCACCGGTTGGTACCTTCTTCCTTCCCACTGTCGAGATTACTCTGAAACCTGTCAAGTATCGCAGCAGCACCATTATTTTCAGGACTTTGCCGCTTTCCTCATGGTCGCCGGTTCAAGCAGTGGACGGGTGATGACTCAAAGGCTCTCATGAAGGTAAAATCTTTTTCGTTAGGTATTGTACCATTACTTAAAACAAAAATAGGTTTATCTTCCAGCTATCTCGGGATATGTACCCCCCAAAATGGTGCAATGTATCAGCGCATTTTTGGATGCCTGCTACATTGCCCGTCGAGCCGACATCACTCAAGAATCACTTGCCGCGCTCCAGACGGCCATTGAGAGGTTTCACACACACCGTGAAACTTTTCGTACATCCGGTGTTTGACCTACCGGCTTCAACCTTCCCCGCCAACACTCTCTTGTCCACCTCATCCATCAAATCCAGGAGTTTGGGGCTCCTGGTGGGCTATGTTCATCAATCACTGAGTCCCGCCACATTACCGCTGTCAAACGGCCTTGGCGTCATTCAAATCGCTACGAAGCTTTGGGGCAGATGCTGCTTACCAATCAGCGGCTGGACAAGCTCCTTCGAGCACGCGTGGATTTCGTTGAGCGTCGGATGCTTCCCCCTTCCCATTTGCCACCTCCAAAACCTATCATACCCCTCGGCGACGATGACGAGGACACTGGCGTCATCGACAAGTATGTGACTGGGAATGTTGCACTGGCAAGAACCCGAAGTAAGTTTTCTTTCAATCTCTACTACTTTGCTGTCACTAATCCATACTTTCTAGTATGAGCTTATCCACGCCGCCTCGCTGAGTTGGCCAACCACATTGGCTGCCCTCCACTCGTTGAACTTACCCGATGTTTCCTCTATGACCAACTCCACACAGACGACGGCACCTCATCAGCCGACATACCCATTCAGCAATGCCCATATCCAACAAGCAAGGTGTCTGTCTTTCACTCTGCCGTCGCCACCTTCTATGCACCAAGCGACGAGTCAGGCATTCGGGGCATGCGAACTGAGCGTATACGGTCCACTCCATCTTGGCGAAAGCACGGGCCACGACGCAATTGCGTGTTAGTAGTTGAGGACCAAGACAAGCCGGGCATGAGGGGGATGAGTGTGGTCCGGGTAAAACTTCTCTTTTCATTTGAGTATGATGGGAAGACATACCCATGTGCACTCGTCGATTGGTTCAAACGTGTGGGCACGGCACCCGATTCGGAAACAGGGATGTGGAAGGTTCAACCTGAGACATACCGGAACGGTCAATGTATTGTTTCCATTCTCCACCTTGACACTTTCCTTCGTAGTGCACACCTCTTACCTGTTTTCGGGCAGGATGTTCTTCCGTTTGACTTCCATTTTTCTTATTCACTCGATGTGTTTGAATCATACTTTGTCAATAAGTATGCTGATCACCATGCTCACGAAATTTGCTTTTAACATGTAGTACCACATTGTAATAAAACTTGTTTAGCTTGCAGTAATTACCTTGAATTGAGGTCTTGGCTAAATTGGGGTTTTTTGGAAATTTTTGGTCTGGGTTGGGATTGAACTTGGAATGCTTGGCCGATTTTTCTGTGTTTCGCAAGCAGCTCAAACACGCCAACTGTCACAAGCACCACCAAACAATGTGCTATCTTGCTGATGTCATAGATAAGACCAAAACATGCTTCACACCTCCACAACGAGCGAGACAATGATTAGCAGGCCTCATGATACCTATGCGACTGGTGAGTGTATGAGAGGACGGCAGCGGCAGAAAACATACCCTTAATGTTATCGCAAAGAATCTTACAGTGACACTCAGTGAAAGTTGACTCTTGCTCTGAGACCCACCTGAGAGCCCACTCCGCCTCGCACTTGATGCAAGGAGTTATCCCAGTCGCGTTGAAGAGATACTCATGCTGGCCTGGGTCCGTCCTTGAAAAGCAACATGCCTCGGCTGCTTAAACTTAAGTCAATAAGCCTTTCAATGGCGATAGCGTTAGAGGCAGTGAAAAAAGCGGGGACATGGGAGCTGAAGTGATGTTTGTTGTCATTCATGTGGCAGTCACGGAGATCCTTCAAAATCTTGTTGATGAGTCGAGTGAGAACCCAATTAGACCTGCTGCGACGTGACACGTGAAGAGTGGTCAGTGGAGGTATATGGAGCGATGTGACGTCACGCAAACCTTCTTGTTGGGAGACAGAATGGCAGTGAGCTCTGAGAGATGAGAGACTGGTGGCTACCACTTTTATGATTAATCTATGACAACTGTCCAAGAGGCAATGTGTATACTGCCACAGGTTTTATGAAAGGCATCTCATTAGGATTGCCCATCTATTTCATTCAATTTATCACTGGAATCTTTCATAAGATATAGGCAAGAATAATGAGATATCATGAGGATATTTCATTAAGCTCTTTGGCCCTTTCATTGCCATTTCATAGACTTTTCATTAGGATATTTCATTAGGCTCCTTCACTTTTTCATTGCCATTTCTTAGAATTTTCATTAGGATATTTCATTAGGCTCCTTCGCTTTTTCATTGCCATTTCTTAGAATTTTCATTAGGATATTTCATTATGCTCCGTCGCTTTTTCATTACCATTTCTTAGAATTTTCATTAGGATATTTCATTAGGCTCCTTCGCTTTTTCATTGCCATTTCTTAGAATTTTCATTAGGATATTTCATTAGGCTCCTTCGCTTTTTCATTCCCATTTCTTAGAATTTTCATTAGGATATTTCATTAGGCTCCTTCGCTTTTTCATTACTATTTCTCATAAGGATATTTCATTAGGTATTTGGCCCTTTCATTACCATTTCTTAAACTTTTCATTGGGATATTTCATTCAGCTCCTTGACCCTTTCATTACCATTTCATTGAATTTTCATTAGAATATTTCATTATGTTCCTTGACCCTTTCATTACCATTTCTTACAGTTCTCAGTAGGATATTTCATTAGGCTCCTTGGTGCTTTCATTAGATTTTCTTAGAATTTTCATTGGGATATTTCATTCATCTCCTTGACTCTTTCATTACCATTTCATGGAATTCTCATTAGAATATTTCATTAGGCTTCTTGGCGCTTTCATTAGGATATTTCATTATGCTGCTTGACACTTTCATTATGATTTCTTACATTTCTCATTAGGAGATTTCATTGGGGCATCTGGTCCTTTCATTTCTTTTAGGATATTTCAT